GCTGTGCTCCTCCAGCTCCACACTGTGTTATCACACGTGACTACAGTGCAGATGGACTTCACTGGCACACGATTTTTACAGATGTATCACGGCTTGATATGGCAACTGTTCTGTCTAAGATGGCAAGAAAATACAGAGAGTTGTGAATGCAGCCCAGATCATCATGGGAAGACAACCTTCCATCCAGTGATTCCACCTACACTTCCCGCTGTCTCAGTAAAGCAGCCAACATCATCAAAGACCCCTCCCACCTGGTTATACTCTCTTCCATTGGGCAGAAGACACAAACGTTTGAAAACCTGTACCAACAGATTCTTTCCCTGCTGTTGTAGAGTCAAACAGCATAGAAACTGACCCTTCAGTCCAATTCATACATGTCAACCAGGTTTCCCAAACAAAACTTAGTCGCGTTTACTGCATCTGGCCCATATCCCTCTAAATCTTTCCTATCAATGCACCTGTCCAAATGTCTTTTCAATGCTGTAACTGTACCTGTATCTACCACTTCCTCTGACAGTTCATTCCACGTAAAACCATCCTCTGTGGAAGGGATCTCTGAAGAAGGGTCCAGACCCGAAACTTCAGCTTTCCTGCTCCTCTGATGCTGCCTGGCCTGCTGTTTTCATCCAGGTCCACACCTTGTTATCTCAGACTCCAGCATCTGCAGTTCCTACTATCTCTGTGTGAAAATATTGCCCCTTAGGTCCCTTTAAAATCTTTCTCCTCTCACCTTAAAAATATCAGACTTTTGAACAGACGCTCTCATATATTACAGTTGATCTTTCTCTGCAACACTATATTCTGCATTCTGTTCTACTACCCTGATGTACTTACACAAGATATGGTTTGTCTGGATAGCACGCAAAACAACATTTTTCACTGTATCTCGGTACACGTGACAATAATAAATCAACTCAAATGCTGCAGTGCCTCCCGTGATGGTGGAAGGCACGAGAGGAATGTTTCTGGTGTGACACTCAGTCACTGACTGCAGAAGAGGACCCTGCTCCAACCTGTCGTTCCAGTCATCGCGTCGCCGGTCGTCTCGCTCTCGGGAGCGGTCGTAGTCACTCCGTTCCCGCCGGAATTTATCCCTGCGCCTCCGGTCGTACTCATCGTCGCTATCACCCATGACTCTAACGTGTCACTGCCTGCCAACAACTGCAAGAAACAAATCTACGTTAGAGTCTCGTCTCCACAGCTCAGGCCACTGAGCAACCCCTCACCTAAAACATCAAGAAGGCCGTCTGGTTTTTGGGGGGTCTTGTCCATGTGGGACGGGCAGACTGAGGGTCTCCAGAAGCCGGTCAAGGGCTGTTCGTGTTCAGAGTGGAATATGGTCAGGGAGGACTGAAACGAGGCATTCGATCACATGGGGAATGGGGGGCAAGGAGAAGGAATGGGCTCTGGACAGGAATAGAAATGGAGGGGGGAAGAAGACAGAGTGTGGGGGTGGCGCTACGTTAAAGGGAATGGAGGGAACGGGGAGATTGGGGTTATGGGGGGGAAACGGGGGGGGATTGGGGTTATGGGGGGGAACGGGG